TAAAGAAAAGGGAATTTAATGACCTTCTTGACCAATTTGATATGTAGAAACTGCACATAACTTAACAAATTTAGACAAATGCTATACTTATACAAGAGAATAGGAAACACATGGTATGCTTATTTACCACACTCTCACTGACAGAACAGGCATTATCTTCAGATAATGTCAAATGAATAAAGAGAGCTATGACGAAATCAGCTTTGTGACTTTCTGGACTAATGTTATGCGAAAACTACAAATACATAGAGTAAACGATAAATTTTAAATAATAGTGGATTAACAAAAAATTATGAGGAACGCATGGTATTCTTACATACCACACCTGTCATTACATTTAATACCCTCTACGTTCAATTATAATCCTATGTTTTTCAGAAATGGGTTTATGTGATACGTTTCTCTATTGAATGCAATGCTCTGTAACTATTTTAATTAAAATTTAGATAAAGGTATATATTGTTACGACGGCGGAAGTCAGGCAACGATGGGAGCATGCGCGCTGGAGTTTATAGTAGGATCGTGACTTATCGGGGAACCTCACGAATGTCCCAGCGTTTGCTAGACGCCCTCTTTTTTAGTATTGTTACGTCTCCGTTCGTTAGTTAACTTCCCGTATAATTTCTTTCCGATGAAACTTTAGCGACACAAGTCCTTTCTTAAATAAAACTGGTTTATTCTTTCTGAATACAACTTTGCAATACACTTAATTTCCACGGTCACGCTATAACAAACGCTATAATTCACAACGAACGTCTTACGTGCTCAACAATACGTCTCTCTTCAATTACCCATTACATTGTTGCCGTCACGTATTGACCGTCTTATATATAAAAGAATACCGAAATCTAGTAAACGCTAGAGCATTCAGGAAGGGACAGGATCCTTCTAGAAGTTAATGACGTGTTACTAGCGTCACGTGACTTCCGCTGTCGTAACACTATATAAGCCGGAGATAGATTGAAGACAAATAATTGATAATTGAGTCAAGCGAGAAGTAGGCAGTGTAAGTAAAGTGTGTGAATCGCTGTGATTTATAGTGTTACGACAGCGGAAGTCACGTGACTCTGGTAACACGTGGTGAGTTTCTAGAAGGATCGGGAACATCAAGAATAATCTAATATTTGCTAGACGCCCTCTATTCCTGTATATAAGCGCGCCAGATAAAGCGAGACAATTAATCGGAATTGGAATCGCAGATAGAGAGATTGATGATATAGACACCGATAGTTGAGTCAAGCGGGCGGGAAGCACCGTAAGTAAAGCGCGTGAATTGTTGTCAATTATAACGTGTGTTTAAGTTAAAGTGAGTTTGGAAATTAAGTGTATTACAAAGTTTGTAATGAGAAAGAATAAACTAGTTTTATTTAAGAAAGGTCTTGCATCGCTGAAGTTTCACGGAAAGAATTTCTACGGAAAATTAACAAACGAACAGAGACCTAACAAACTGATGTCAGCGAGTGGGACAGAAAAGAAAAAAGAAGATGGAAACGAGAAGTGGCAAATCAAACTACAGCTTAGCAGATCTGATGGCAGCAATACAAGAACAGCAAAAGTAAAAAGAAGATGGAAACGAGAAGTGGCAGATCAAACTACAGCTTAGCAGATTTGATGGCAGCAATACAAGAACAACAAAAGAAACAAGAAGAGAGACAACAGCAGTGGCGAGAAAACCTGCAACAGTGGCAACTCGAACAGCAAAATAAACAAGAGAGATTACAGCAGTTGTTGGAGGAAAAAGAAAAGAAACAAGAAGAACGAGATAAGAAAGAAGAAGAACGAGAAAAGAAACAAGAAGATATATTACAGCAGTTGTTGGAGGAAAAAGAAAAGAAACAAGAAGAACGAGATAAGAAACAAGAAGAACGAGAAAAGAAACAAGAAGAGAGATTACAGCAGTTGTTGGAGGAAAAAGAAAGGAAACAAGAAGAACGAGAAAATAAACAAGAAGAGAGACAACAGCAGTGGCAAGAAAACCTGCAACAGTGGCAGCTCGAACAGCAAAATAAACAAGAGAGATTACAGCAGTTGGTGGAGGAAAACAAAAGAAACAAGAAGAACGAGATAAGAAAGAAGAAGAACGAGAAAAGAAACAAGAAGATATATTACAGCAGTTGTTGGAGGAAAAAGAAAAGAAACAAGAAGAACAAGATAAGAAACAAGAAGAACGAGAAAAGAAAAAAGAAGAGAGATTATAGCAGTTGTTGGAGGAAAAAGAAAAGAAACAAGAAGAACAAGATAAGAAACAAGAAGAACGAGAAAAGAAAAAAGAAGAGAGATTATAGCAGTTGTTGGAGGAAAAAGAAAAGAAACAAGAAGAACAAGATAAGAAACAAGAA